AAAATGAAGTAAGCATCTTTAAAAACATGTAGAAAATTGTTTCGTAACAAAAATCTTAATGGAAATTGGGTGTATATATGTTTTGCATCATAGCTGAAACTTGTTTTGATCAGCATCCATTTTACCATGTTAAGTTTTATACGTTTAGATTTGAAGGGGTCTAAGGGGTGACTGTGCAGGTTGAAACAAGAAAGGTGATACTGATCTCTCTGTATCTTGGTCCCCATCATATTTTCCATTTACTCTCTGTGATTATTAAGCACAATTCTCCCCTGAAATAATAGAATCACATCATGCATCACATTTTCATTTTTTTAATTATAGACTCATACTTTTTGAATCAGTGAATCATTGTTAGTGACATTACCAATGAAGCAAAACCAACATCTAAAAAAAATATTCAATATACGTCACTTCCGCAAATCTGAATGATTAACCTCTCAAACTTCCATATGAACTGTCATATGGCTGCACCTCTGCAGCAAACAAAGATATGAAAATAAGCAGAAATAAAGAACATATTATGTTATTCATGTGAGACTATATTGCTCACTTTCGGTCACGGTTCAGATTATTTCAAAACACAAGAATGATTCAGAGACCACCTGTATAGAATTCTGAGCGAAATTCAATATTGTTAATTGTGAAATCACAACAACTTAGTATTGCCTAATCACTGTGACCTTCTGGCTTTTAAAAATGACCCTGTTCACAGTTTAGTTTCCATTAGGGAAATACTCCTCCTCTGCATATTTAATCTTCAAATAGATTATGTAATATAAGATCACTGTTAAAACATTCCACTCTCTCTGAGCTGTTTCTCATGACAGGAATGCTTCTGTACCCCCTTGTGAGTCTTTACGAAGCTACGCCGCACACCCATGAAGCTCCAAAGCAGCATGAAATGTTCATACAACGCTTTCAAAGTCAGACTTATATAACAAATACGAAATACAGAGCTTCAAATCTGGAGAGATAGATGTCTGCAAAATCCAAGACCAACAAGACATTGTAAAAAAAAAAAAACATTGTAGGTTCCCAAGTAAACATACACTTGTCCAACTTTTCCTTATTATTATACATCCTATCTATGTGTGGCTCCAAAAGACAACCAGATGTATTTGTGCACAGTCTGCAGGGAGACGTTTCAGAGATGTGTTCCCATCATGGAACTGTGTAACTGATCACATCTGGATTACGTAATCCGATTCCAAAAATTAAGTACTTGTACTTAAGTACAGGGTTACTTTTTTATCGATTACATGATTACATGTTATTCACACACAATGGAAGTAAAAAAAATCATAATTTTTCGATTGTTTGTTATCAACAACATGAAGTGCATTAAATATTACGTTACATCAGGGTTTTCCTAACTGGGGTTCAAGAAGGAACTGCATGGGGTTTGTGAGTTTAATGAAAAGCTTAAAAATCAATAAATCATGAAAATGTAAAATAAATATTTTTTTAAAATAAAAAATGTGTTTGAAAGAAAAATACTTCCAAAGACATCAATACATGATTCAATAACTTGAGTGATAATTAAAATAATAATTATTGTGTCAGGAGTTGATTGGATATGCAATGATGCAATGCTGATAAATGATTTCTGTAAATCCAGTGGTCAAATGCTTTGTAGCCTCTCAATTTTCCTCATCCACATGAATCCACACGACAAGTATCTGGTCTGTTTGCAATTTCACAAAACTAGAAGACTTTCTGAATGTATGTTTTTTAGAAAGGAAAATCTAAACCATGAAAAAGAATAATTAGGGAGAACAGAATATATATTTTTTTTCTTTGTATATTTATATCAACGTGGTTCAATATTATCCTATTCAATTTATTGAGAGATACGAGGTCAAAAGTAATCTAAAAGTAATCAAAAAGATTACATTAGATTAACCTGTTAACTGTCACCCCCCTTTTTTTGAATATACATGAAAATGCACATTTCGAACTTAAATGGTTGTAATTCAAGAATGCTTTGGAATATAGACGTAAGATTGGTCTCGTTTTAAAGAAGACATTTGGCAGATTTTTGTTGAAGTGAAATAAATTAAGAAAGTGAAACAGAAAAAAGTTATAGAAGTTTGAGTTTATGGAAATGTACAATGTAAAAAAAAATTATTATTCATATTTTATATCAAATATATATTTTCAAAACCTGGGCTACTCTAAAACTACAGAAAAATCAAAGCCAAAAATCTGAACAAGTTGTGTTTCAAATTTTAGGTTGATATTTCAAAAAATGAGCTTTCAGTAAGATTTTGTTTGGGCGCAGTACCAAACTTTTTCACTAGATGACAATCAGACTCCATTACTGCCCATATAAGGGCGCCTCCATTTCCATATGTGTTTTGAGTGATATGAACCATTATTTCCACAATTTTCATACAATTTATGAAGTAGAGATCCTATTCAGAAGTAGTATGGGAAGTTTGGCAGATTTTGATATGAATTCAACCTCTAAGAAACACATACAAAGAACATGCATGTGCGTCATAGCTCGCTGCCACATCACAAATGGTGAATTTATTATTTTTTTCTTTATATTTAAAACATTTTCAGACCTTTTTTTCTAAAATAATTGAATGGATGCTATCTTTTGAACTCTTGGCATGAAAACAAACTGAGGTTTCTAACATTTTTTCATGATTTTTCATGTTCATTGCTATTTAAAAATAAATGTCTGACCACGCCTTAGGACTATGAAAATATTCTTGTTGCAAATTGATAAATTACGGCTCCTCTGTAATTTATTTTGAAAATCAATCACCAAAATTTGGAAACTAGAGATTGTAAGCTTTCAAATGATATATAGTTTGTCAATATTACTTAAGGTTTTTACTAAGATATTATTGTTTTAAAAATATAATGGCAAACGTCCCACCTGTGGGACGGTGACAGTTAATTAAATTACCTAAATTGTGTAATGTAATGGTACGTTATTACAATTTTTGTCCTGTAATTTGGAATCAGTAATGGATTGTATGTTATTAGTGATTGTAAGTTATTTTTAAGATATGTAATATATTTATTTTAATTGTAAATTATTTCTTTACAGTCAATTTAACAAAAATATAACACTCGTAGATAGTAGTTGAGAAAATCCTGTAAAAAATAGTTCTTGTACAGGTAATTTGTCTACTTATAACAAAAGCAATTTTTTTAGACCTCATATTAATTCAGAAACTGGTTATTTGTACTTAAAAATGCACATAATGATGTCTCTCCACTGTTGTAGTAATTTTTAGAGTTGTGGTTTTGTTGTAACAGTTGTTTTGGAAACTTTGCGTGGGGTCGGGAACTGAAAAACATCATCTTTACAGTAAAAAGCCAATGGTTGACTGCATAACAAAGGTTTCATGCAAGCGGGAAGAATATAATCATATTCAACAGGCATTACACATCCAGGGAACCTGAGGCTTTCATGCTCTTCATTTGGTTTTACAATGAGACTGCATTTGGAGACCTCAGCATTGTCCAGGCCTGTCTGAGGTAATTACCCTTTCTTAGCTTCATCTTCTAGCCCAGGGCGATCTCTAACCACTCGACTGTGCCTGTCACCCAACCAATGTCCTCACCTGTTCTTTACCAAAACAACTGAGAACAAGAACGGCTTCGGATGTCAGCAGCAGTGTCAAAAAAACAACCTTATCTGCTATTAAAGATATAATTAGGCTGTGATAAACATTACAAAAAAGTGACAAATTACTGCAATGTTTATTTTCACAGAACAATGGGACGCTTCATTTAATGCTGCATTACTTTTCGAACTTTCCCTCCTCCCACGTCTGAACTAAGGAGCGGCTGAGAAAGACTTTCATTGTGACCCTGAAAACTGTAGTGTGTGGGTGCATCTGAATTCCATCCTTTTCTAAGAAAAGTTGGACATATTTTTACAATTCAGTATTGAATAATGAAATATGAGCAATTTAGCTATGAAGAACTTAGAAAAAGATAGGTTTAAATAACCACGACTGATGTTTATGCTGAGAGCAATTTGTTGATTATAGTAAATCAATTTTCTTTACATCTCAAAGTCTTTAATATCCCCGAATGTGTTATTACTGAAGACATTTTTCAGTTTCATGGGTATTTTCTTCTAGTAAAATGTTGGCTTGACAAAATCTTGTCTAAAGGTTTAAATAGGTTTAAAAAGCCCTGAAGTTTTAAGCATATTGAAAAAGTGTACTAATAGCCTACTTTAAAATAATAAGCTTAAGTTTGAACTGAATATAATGTTTTCGGACACTTAAAATGTATTATAGCTTAGATTTATATTAAACGCAGTTAGCCAAATTTTAGAGTGTTTTTTGACCAACTTAAGTAGGACTTTGTACATCTTTAGCCTATTATGCAATTTCATTAATCCATAGTTTTTGTAATTTAGTTGAAGAAGTGTATGTATATATGACAATTTCTATTGAAACTTGTATGTCATGTATTTAAAAATATTTGTAATTACACATTTGTAATGATGCTGTTGCAATTTAGTACTTTTAATACTGTATATAGCTACTTTAAATATTATATCAATTGAATAACACACTAAAGTTTCAAGTACTTTATACTTAAGTATGCTAATCAACTAATCAAAATACTTCTATAAAACTTGACACACGATTATTGAAACAATAATTTAAAATGCACTTTAAAGTAAAAAGAAAGTTAAGAAACATGTTAAGAAACAGTCATGAAAGTGTGTGTGTGTGTGTGTGGGGCACAAGAAAATAAGGCAAAATACATAGTTTGAAGTTCTGTGTAAAGTTTAGTGGATGTAGATTGACCTCAAACCCAAGTTTGTACAATAACAGTATGCTAGCTTTAATGAGTGCAATGTCTTCTGAGAAGAAATATTATTCATTGGTATATGATTGCACATTTTCCAACTTCTCCCACTATCTCTCCCTCTCTCTCTCTCTCTACACACGCACACAAATGTTTCTCCGGAGTCTTTCCCCTCCCTCCATCTGGCAGTCCGTCACCCCTCCTCCTCCAGCTGCTGATGGTCTGCTCATTCTCCTCAGTGAGAGGACAGCACACACACTCCTTCACAACCAGCCTCCTTCTCTCACATACACTCGTGTATGAAACTTTTCCGGCAGTATGTTCAAAACTGGATATACCCCGAGCAGCACAGATTTCTGGAACATCTGAACAATTTGAGCACTCTATTGAGGAGAAGGAAGATCATCCAGCATTAAGGTATGAGGTGTGCTTGAATAAGCCACTGAGGAGGGGTTTTTCCTCTTGACACCGAAAGCTACTGAAGTTTTGCACATCAACAATGAGTCTTAAGAAGAGGAAACCAAGCATGGTGTTCAGCTGGCACAAGTCTTTTGCTATCCTTGCCCCTTGGAGAAAAGGTAAGTTGCGTGACTCAATATGCGATCTTATGCTGAATGCATGGAGTCATTGCTTCACCAGTCGGCTGCATGCAACACCTGGATCTGCAGCACAGGTAGTAATTTGTCTGGCTGAGGTGTTGGAGGATATTTAGAAACCTGTCATTTGAACTCTGAGGTGTTTTCTGCTTGGTTGAACATGGTTAGTGTTATCTTCAAAAAAACATTCAGTTTCACAGGTAGTTGGGCTGATGTCATTTCAATTAAGTTAGCTCTAAAAGCTGAGCTCGTATAGAAAACCCACAAGCTTTAGCCACAGACTTTATTATATATACAGTGTTGTTTTTAACTGCAGTTGTAAGTGTTGCTTTGGTGTTAACTAGAAAAACATGTGGCAAAACAAGGGGCAATTTGTGTTTAATTAGTAAGAAATTCAAATCAAACATCAGCTTAATGAGTAACATTTTATAAGCCATTTGTTTTGTTTTAGTGTAAATCACAGAAGCATTTTGTCTAGACTTTATATTGTGCAATTGTAATTGTGATTGTTCAATCTAGGGTTCTTGTTTCAGAAGCCTTTCTACACATCATATAACCAGAATGTTGAAACAGTTTATGAACATATAGCAAAACCTAAAATATCCTGTATAAAATTGAAATCGAGAAATGAATTAAATACATAATCTGTTTCTATTTACTGTAAAAAAATTATATGATCAATAAGTTATGACAACATATGTTTTTACATTGCTTAAACTCAACAAAATAAGTTAAGCAATTTTCAACTTTTTTATAGGTTCTACAAGATTCAACTCAATTTAATGTAATTTAAGTTGAAATGACTTAAACATCCAAGTTAATTGTAAATTTACAATTAACAACTTTTTTTAGTCTTTCATATTGGTTTCTGGGCTTTTAAAGCATCAGTACATTTGTATTTCAAAAGAACTAGAGAATAAAGAGTTTTGTGTAACTTAAAAAGTTATAATAAAACATTTCTAAAACCGTTTTGGTTGTAATTGGAACCTTGCAAAACAGATATCAATGGGATTGTCTCTCATGTGAATGTTTATGTCTTATAGAGACTAAATTAGTTTAATAAGTAGCTGTGATTCTCAATATATGACAGTTTAGATGATCAGTGTTACCATAAAGGAAGACAGTGAGAGGAGAGTGTCACACAGGTGTTTCAACCTCAAGCAAAACTCACATAAGAAACAGAGTGATATCAGATGTGAATGTTTTAGTGGTGACAGATTCTTGAGAGGGGCTCTTCTCTACTTGAGTTATATTATACGTGACTCATAACTGCAACCAGGCACAGCTGCACTGAGTCGAATTCTTCATGCGTAGGATCAGTGTGTGAAATCACAGACACACATGACTCAGTCAGGTAATATGGATATATGAAGCTGTCCTGAAGGGACAAGACGAGAGCTGTCACCATTATTGTAGTGACATTCAGATTGAGAGTGTCTCACAGAAAAATAAGTCTTCACTGTTGTTTGTCAATTCTGGATTACTTGTACCTTGATTGTGGTCATAAGTGGAAAACTGTAAGTAGAAAATCAAATCTTACTCTCTCTCTCAAAAAAAAAGGTGGTGGGGGAGAAGAGTGGGGTGAGTTTGCCTGAAGGCTTGACTGATGTTACTGCTCCCGCACATTCTTGCCTTATCCTAATGCTGTTAGATAATGAAAGACTGGGCCGTTCAGCTCACATTGATAATGTGCTTCTGGAAAGACTCCTTAGGGTCAAAACCACTGCCTTGGTGGAGAACAGGGAAAATGTTCTGGCATTGTGATGAGAGAGACAGAGAAGTGTGAGGCACTAGAGGTCTGCTGGATTTAGATTAGGAAGAAAGGGGGAAAAGGTGTAGGGCTGTATTTCACACCTCATCAAACCTGACATCTGGCCTCTGTCACCTCCTTCAGCAAGGAGCAATTCAGTCAAAAAGTCAATGGATTACAACTTTACAATCCGGGAATCGTGAATGTGTGGTTCGCCCATAAGAAATTCACCTCAATTACGCTAGGTTTTTTTTTTTTTTTTTTTTTTTTAAATGTTTTGCCCCTTGAGAAAAAAAAGTGCACTTGATTGTACTGAATTGCACATGTAGTGTACTTCGAATCTTAAAAGTATATTTAAAAAAAAAAAGCTATACTTGCAGATAATGAAATAAAAGGCAACTTAAGTGTACTTAAGAGTATGTTTCATGACGGTTTCTTAACACACTTCAGTACACTTTTAAAAAATGCTCTAATGTCAAATTAAAAGTTTTCTTTAAAGTACATTTTAAATCATTGTTTTAATAATCATTTTAAAGTTTTAAAGAAGTACACTCATATTTGACTAACATACTAAAGCACTTGTGCATACTCGATTATAATTTTAGTGTTACATTTTAGTTGCAACTTCATTATTACAAATGTTCATTACAAATATATTTAAATATATGACATCCAAGTCTCAATATAAATTACATTAATGTATATTTTTACCATCAATTCTCAGAACATACTTCAAAGACAATATTGTAATTCTAAAGTAACATCTAAAGTTGAACTTAAAGGGTTAGTTCACCCAAAAATTAAAATTCTGTCATCATTTACTCACCCTCATGTCTTTCGTTCATCTTTGGAACACAAATCTTCCAATTTTCTGAAGACTCGATCGCTTTATATGATGAAGAGAACAAACCTCATTGGTTCTTGCAGAAGCTCAAACGTGCTGCGTAACACGAGAATGAACCTCATTGGTTCTCTCACGTCGAGCGAACCTGTTTGAGCTTCCGTTTCCCATGATGTGTGAGTTGATGAATGTTTTTATGTGAATAAAAGCCTAAATTCAATCTGTTCATCATATTAAGCGACTGTGTCTTTTCAGAAAATTTGGAATAACCTCTCAATTCATATGGATTAGTTTTACGACCCCTTTATGAACTTTTTGAAATGTCAAAGTGGTAGTTGAGCAGACTGTCAATGGAGAGACAGAAATATCTCAGACTTCATTTAAAATATCTCCATTTGTTTGGAACGACATGAAGGTGAGCAAATGGTGCAGATCTTCAGTTTCCATTCAACCAATGTTTAATATAAAAAATGACAAATAGTAATACTGATGCAAGTCTTAAAAATGTGTATTTATTAAATAGAATATATAGGTTCCTGTGTTATGGCTTGTAAGGCCAGAACTAAAACAGTCCATATATGGATTCTAGCGAACCGATTATTAGCTTATGTGCTCTCGGGGTCATTCAGTCTGGCCACCCATGTGCTAACAGGGTTCTGACATTCTCCTGGCTGTAAAAATAGAAGACCTGCCCTGGCCTGCCTCTGACCTCTCCACCCATAATCACAATGGATGTGTCTGCAGACAAGACCGACCCACTATACTTATCCCACTGCATCCCCTAACAATACTGTCAAGCCGCTGAAACTCATTTAAAAAAAAACACTGCACTTCAATTCAACAAAAGCTGTTTTTTTTTGCTAAGAACTATTTTTGTTTTACAAATGAAGATTCCTAAAACAGAGCTTTACTCTGAAAGTTTTAAGGCTTTACTCATGAAAGTAGACAAAATGTATGCATCCATGACCATTTATCAGTCATGAGCAGTAAATCAGTGAACGTAATATTTATGGCAATGAACACCCTTATAATTATGATAAAATAGGGTGCCTGCATGCATGTGGCTTTAGTTTCACGTCATGTCAGACGTGATGATGTAAAAAGAACTGATGAACCGGTTCAGAGAAATTAATCAGACTTCCCATCACTGTCAAGAGCATAGCTGTATATCATCTTACTGACTGATGTTACTGATAATGCCAGTTAAACTGGGTGTAGGCTCTAATTTTGTGTTAGTAAAGCAGAACTCACAAACATAGCAGTGTTGAAATGTGGTAAACATGAGCGGGTGAGGCCAGATGGAGTAAACATGTTCTTGTCGAAGCTTGTGAATTCTTCACATTTCATCCCTGTGAATGTTTCTATCGAGGGCCTTTAATGATTCTCACATTCTTCATCTCAAATGAATAGCAGCAACTTTTGGTTATTGAAGCAGACTTTTCTTCTCCCTTTCAGGACAGATAATTGACACAATATGTTTTGAGTAGTTATGTCTCGCAGAAATCCTTCAAATTAAATATTTATTAGACTTATAACATCCATCTGGAACATATCAGTGTTTTTACTAAATCTACATACAGCTGTAAAATACACTGGAGCAGATGATTCCAGGATTCTTGAATGTGAACAGAGTATTTTATCAGATCAAATATGTGAGGAACTTGCCAGTTGTACACAGTGAACAACATTCTCCACTGACCTAGAAGAAAAACCCTACTGCAGGTGGCATGTGACTAACAGTGCTGCTTTAAAAGAGAGAAAAATCAGTGAATAAGAAAATATGCACAAAGCAACCTCTAAAGATTATGGAGGCCCATTTCCGCCACACAAGGAAAATAAATCATGCTTTGGTAAATAATAATTATGACATAAAAAGCCAAAATTATAACATACTGGGCCCTATCTTGCACCCAGCGCAATTGACTTTGTACACCGACGCATGTATCATTCGTATTTTGCACCCGTGCAAAGCGGACTTTTCCCTCCACAGACGCACGCCGGTAAACTAGGGAATGAACTTGCGCTCCCTGGGCGGTTCAGCGCAAAAAGGAGGCGTGTTTCGGCGCAAACAATCCCTGGTGCTATTTTGCAGTTCCAGAAAACAATTGCGCCACTGACCAGAAAAAAACTAGTCTAAAGTCAGTGTTGCGCGTAAATTCAGATGCTATTTTAAGCGCGCATGCTTGGCCATAATACAGAGTGTGAACAACGCGCATACACTGTAGATGATTCTCTCATAGATGCATTTTACTTTTTGCAAATTATACATTATCATAAGGAAAAATATTAAAGCACGAGTGAAATCATTGTTGTGTCCATGACGATAGGAAAAATAGGCATAAAGCTTACACATTTACCCCAAATATTATATGCATGTTTAACCGAATGCTAATTTGGGTTTATCCCACAATGTCACTTCTCTTTCTTTTACGGCCCTGACGAGAACATCGATCTCCTCGGCTGTGAACCGATTGTGAAGCACGCCTAGTAAATGCGCCGTTATAATAGTAGGCTATTGCGCCATATGGAACAAGCGCACCTCGTTCATCATGCTCTTAAAGGGAATGTGATATGACGCTCTTATTGGTTTGTTTCCCGTTACGCCCAAACCACACCTATGAATAATGAAGCTACTTCAGACCAACCCCTTTTAGATTTGCGTCGAGCGCAAGAGTCATTTATCCCGCCGGTTAAATAGCAACAGCGCCGAGATCCGCCCACAAAGTTACTTGCGCTTTGCGCTTGACACTTGCGTTTTAGATTGTTAAAATAGGGCCCACTATGTCATAATGTTGAGTTTAAAAATGAAATTATGGCATAAAAAGTCTAAACTATGAGATACTAAGTCGTAATTTTAAGATAAAAAGAAATTACGACATACTCTCATATTTGTGAGATAAAAGATAGAATTATGACATAAAAGTCAAAGTTCTTACATACTAAGTCGAAATAGTTTAAACTATGACATAAAAAGTCAAAATTATAAATGAGATACTGAGTTATAATTATAGATAAGAGATAAACATTTAAATTCTAACTGTAACATGTCAAAATTATGAGATAAAACATCATAATTATTACACAAATGAAAACTCAACTTTTCATGTTATGACTTTTTTCTCAATTTCCACTTAGTATGTCATAATTTTGACTTTTTATCTCACAAATATGACAGCATATTGTAATTTCGACTTTTTATCTCATAATGACTTTTTAAGCACAAAATTCCAAAGAAGATTGACAAAGACTGACAAAGACACAGATATGTGTCGATATTCCTATAGGGTTGTACCTGCCTTTCACTCCTGAAATAATCCCCAATCAGATATTTGCAGCCTCCCGAGTGATAAGGACCAGAAATATGTGGGGTTTGATTCCCGCCAACACTATCATTGACCTGTTTTTATTTTAAATGCATTATACTCTGCAGAATGAAGGACCTTAGCATTACTTACATTCCTGGCTGCCAGGGGCTAGCGAGGGCTTTTTGATCTCTCTTTACAAGCGGCCACGTCTGAGCGATGTTAATTGAAAACCGAGGGGGATTTAGATGCTGACTACTTGCCCCTACTGAGTGGCATCAAAAATGTCCCACCATCAGCAGTTCTGGAGAGCACGGGTGTATGAAAGACTGACCCAATGGCTCGGTCTAATTGACCTGTAGAAGTAAATTAGCTAAAATATTATTCAGGGCCTCACATAGAGAACTCCAATTACTGTAGGCTTGGGTTTCATGTTGGGACTGCTTGTAGGTAATTATCGGACAATGTACTGGTTTTTTTTTTCAGTCTCTTATGTTTCATATTTGTATGGCATGGTGCAGAGTAGCCCACTACAGTTAACTCTGATTAGACTAAAATGCTGCTGTATTTCATGGATGTTTCTTCAGATATGTTCATAGTGTCTTCTTGCACTCATCATGGACAGACACATTAGAAACTTGAATTCCACCTAGTTAGCATAAAAAGGATTAGAGTAATATGAAACAGGACCTGTTTGTTCAACATGATCTCATGAAAGTGCGTATATAGCACAAAATGTATTTCTCGTACCATTCATACGGCATAAATCGTTTTTTGCGTGCAAATGCATGCACTGTAAACCCATTAAACCCAGGGTTTGGAGTGTGTGCGTATTACACGCCATAAAGTACGTATCATATGTACGTGAAAACTATGTTTGGCGTATAAATGGTACGAAAAATTTTATGGTAAGATTTTTTATTTTTTTTATTTAGATTAGATAAAATTGAACAATGAAGTCTGTTTGTAGTTGATTTTACACAGGAGTTATGGAGTCCAGGTGTTGTGTACACACACATGGGTTTATGAGAAAGGACTGTAAAAACACAGGCACTGATTTGAATGGGAAAAAACCTGGAGCAGAAGCAAAGGTGGTATGACCTCACGTAATTGAAACACTATCAGTGTTTTCACAGTTAGTATCCAATCTGAAAAAAAAAGATCATAAATTCTTTTCTCTTAGAACACATGGGAGTGCTTATTATTAAAAGTGACACAAAAAACACTCTATCTAGCTGGGAATGGCTAAAGTGGCTATTAATGTTATCTTTTTCAAGGCCTCGTGAAATAACTTAGCCTACCATATGATTTCCACCATAGCATTGTATCGGTGTGAAGAGTATGTCAAAGCTAAAAGCTATTTAAAAGCCAATTTCCTCACAGTATGTAAATTAGTGAAGCATTTCCTTCTAAAAAATATTCAGATTGAATATCCTGTGAATCATCTAATTAACCATTCATTTCCACTCCACTGAGAGCTTCCCGTCACACCTCTTCCTGACAATCAAGATAAAAACAAAACAAAACAAGAGACAACGAATTCAAATTTTAAACAGAGAAAACCTAAAAGAGAACTGTGCAATATATATACAGTATATATGTATATATATATATTTAATTTGCCTTATTTCTATCCAGTACTCGACTGACAAGTGCATTTAAAAGTGCATTTTTTCAGTTGAAGATGCAAGCACAGACTTTTATTATGAAAATAGTGAGATGAAGAAATTATATGAATGACACCTGAAATGTATTAGATTTCTAATACGGTACTATGAAAGAGATGAGCCTCATAATATCATTAAGCTAATGCACAGATCAAAGATTAGAACAGGACAGAACTATATGACTCTTTGTAGAAAACTGACGCTAAGAGATAAGCACTCTTCTTTCAGCATAGGAAAGCATGTCTGCATACAAATTCTTTTAAATGATTTGAATAATGAGAGCTGAAGTATGCAGTGAAATTTAGTTTTACTTTTGTCTCTACACAAGTGAGAATTTTTCTAATACCAATGCTTTAACCTGTTAACTGGCACCCCCCCCTTTTTTTTGCATAGACATAAAAATCACTATCCAAACTTAAATGGTTGTAATTCAGGAATGCTTTGGAATATAGACCTATGGCTGGTCTTGTTTTAAAGAAGACATTTTCCAGATTATTGTAGAAGTCCAGAAATTGTAAAAAATGAAACAGAAAAAAAGTTATATAAGTTTGAGTTTATGAAATTGTGTAATGTAAAAATATAATGATTAATATTTTATATAAAATATATATATTACAAAATATATTTTACTCTAAAACTGCAAGAAAAATAAAGTCAAATATCTGAACAAGTTGTATTCCAAATTTTAGGTTGATATCTCAAAAAATGAGCTTTCAGTAAGATTTTATTCGGGCGCAGTACCCAACTTTTTCACTAGGTGAACACCAGAATCCATTACTGCCCATATAAGGGCGCCTCCATTTTCATATGTTTTGAGTGATCTGAACCATGTATTTCCATAATTTTCATACAATTTATGAAGTAGACATCCTATTCAGAAGTAGTAGGGGTGGTTTGGCAGTATTTGATTTGAATTAAACCTCTAATAAATGCATAAAGACTACGTTATAGCGTTATAGCTCGCAGCCGCATTACAAATCGAGAATCCATACATTTTTCTTTATATTTAAAACATTTTCAGACCTTTTTTTCTCATAAAATGGAATTGGTGTTATCTTTTGAACTCATGGCATGAAAACAAACTGAGGTTTCTACCAATCTTTCATGATTTTTCATGTTTATTGTTATTTCAAAATAAAGGCCTAAATACTCCTAATGAATATGAAATATTCTTGTTGCAAATTGATAAATTTCTGCTCCTCTGTAATATATTTTAGATAACAGCCACCAAATATGAAAACTAGAGATTTTAAGCTTTCAAATGATATATAGTTTGGAAATATTACTTTAGGTTTTTACTAAGATATTATTGTTTTAAACATGCAATGGCAAATGGGCCCGCATGCAGGGTTAAGAGGTTAAAGCTGTGTGTGTATTTTTTTGTGTGCAATTTGAAATATTTTCCCCTATCCCAATTTAATGTTTAGAGACAAATATAAGTCCAGAAGATAGTTGGTTTCCCTGAGAAGTGTAAACATTGTGGCTCTGTGGTGATATTGAAATATTGCTGTTTGTTTGAGCATCTTGTCCAGCCAATGGAGTGAGTTTGTCTGGTAGACAGGAGGAGTCTTCTGGAAACCAGTTTGAAAATAATCATAATTTTTGCATTTCCATCTGGCGGTACTAGTTGCGCACAAAATACACACTTCAAAATAACTTTAATAGGGATAGTGATTACATGATTTTATGGTATTTTATGATTTTAATATTGTGAAAGTACAAAATTATTAAAATGTTTTTATTTGTTTTGCAGGTAAAGGGGATATTGTTTTAGAGAATGAAGTTGTACTAACAAAAATGAAGCTCCTCAACAACTTCCCTGAGAAACTACTAAATGTTGAGGATTCCATTTCAACCATCTCCATTTCAATGTCTGAGCAGGATAACAGAGAGCCTCTCCAGGCTGATGAGGTGATCTCCATCCATAGCGCTGCTCCAGATACAACTGTGACTGAATCAAAAACAGACTATCTATCTTCGATTTTTGCTGATTCTGAGCTTCAAAGATTGTATAAATTTGAATCTGAGGACTCTGGGGTAGAGATGACTAGTGGAGCAACCTCCCCATCCACCCCAACTGGTTCAGAGCAAAGCTTTGTGGTCCACAGTAGAGGGTCTTCATGTGACTCTGGCAACCTGAACTCTCATGTACCTGCTGACAATCCTCTTGAAGACAGTTCGGTCTTTTTGGAAACTGAACAAATGTCTTGTAAATGTGCTGAACAAGATACTCTTACCATTCTGGGAGACAGAAGAGAGGATGAGAATGCTGATGATGATTTAATAGACCTGATGGCAGATTCAGAGAGGTCCGAGGACAGAACCCTGAGGAATACCATGGAGAACTGTGAAGATGAAATTGAAATCATATCAGCACAGGTGGAAATAACAGGCACTGCAATGGCTGAGGACACGATGTCAAGGAACCAGTGTTCTATTGAAGCTTGCGATGGCGAAACAGGACATGAATTTCAGCAACAGCCTTTGAGGAAAAGCACAACCAGCGACAGCTTGGATGAGTACATGGAAGAGTGCTGCAGGCTAAGTGAGGTAGTCATAACAGTTTACATATCTTTTATTGTTATTTACTTGACATCATGAAGTTATGTCTGCTTTTATATAAACAACAATGGTCTACGATATAGCAAGCATTTAAATGTGAATTACACAGCATTTATTGGGAGAGTTATGTTTTTAATTAGTCTTTTCTAAAGATAAGGTAAAATCAAAAACAAAGGCGTGTACTGTAAAAACAGTTACAGATATGTAGAAATGTCTATCAAATAGAAGTAAACATCTGAAGTGGTGTTTACCTATTTTACTGGAAAACAAGGCAAAAACACTGATTAAGGTTTTTTTGCAGTGTGATTAGGAGATCAGCAGTCTAAATAATGTCTTTGAAATTAAGTTGTTTCATACCCCAGTAAAAATCAGAGTGAAATGCTCTTCCTGTCAATCAAATTCACAATGATCGTTTACCACTGCTAAACACAACATGATATAATGCTAATTGCATCCAGAAGTAAAGCACTTCATTGACATTATGTGAACTGAAAACAGTCCTGGGTTCTTAAAATGTAAGATGCAAGTGCAGAATGTGAAATTAAGCTGTTTGAGAGATGAAGAGTGTCAGTGATATGTTCATTGTGAACATGGTAAAATGAATAGCTACTGTTTACAGTTTAGAAGCACACACATATCCTTTCTCATTAGCCGTAATGACGGTCTTCCCGCAGCTTGACGTCATCAGCTCATCACTGAGTGTGTATGATTTGACCAAAAAGGAAAACAGGATAAAAGCCTTCCTGTCAGCAGTGTTTCCGTAGACATTTTTTTTCTTTCAAAAGAAACAGCTTCTTTTAGCATTTCTGCTGATTTGTAAAGATTTTTTCACCACGAAATGAAAATATAGCACACAAAAATGAGCACACCTCAGCTCGCTTCCAAGCAGCCCTTAATATTCATATTAATATTTATATGTATTTGGTTGGTCTACATACAGTAAGTGATTCTCAACTGTTTTTTCTTCAGGGCGCAAATTTTACATTGGTGACACAATACCGATACAAAAAATACGTTTTAAAATATATTGAATTTTGTTTTGGAGACACTCAAAGCAAAAGCTTGTCTTTACAATTTGAGTTTTGTTTCTAAATGCTAAATGCAATTGCTGATTACCACCGTAGCAGCCACAAAAGGTCATTCAGTGAGGCCCTGTTTACACCTGATATTAAAATGCATTTTGGTCGATCGGATAACAAGTGGATGACACCAAATACAGGTGTAAACTGGGTCTAAAAAGTTTTGAGCTTGTCCCCTTTCGACCACTTCCAGTTAGTCGAAAACGCATTCAACCGGATTGCTTCCATAGTAGACGTTTATGTGTTCGAATGTGTTCGAACAGCCGCAAAAGACCGACAAACTCTCTGCCTACGGACTTAATGCGTAAACATTATGGGAAGCGCACTAACCAGATGGGATTTTAAACTTTGCCGGCTGGAGACTCAAGTTTGGTTTGAAGACGAAAAACGTACCAAGCACAATGTTCTCTCACCATTCCTGATTTCTAACACACACTCAGTGTTCGGCGTGGTCTTGCGGCTTCCAGAGCAGCAGACTGATCTCATGAAATGGCGTATGTATGACACGCCAATTCGTATTTCCATTTTTGGCGTGTTATCAACACGCATAATCGCTTTTCAGCGTGTTTATCAACGCCGTTGACTTAACGTTACATTACTGTAGGCTATATATATATATAAATATATGACCAACCCCAACCCCCTCCCTAAACCTACCCGTCACTGGGGTTAATACCATTTATGAGTCTTCCCCTACCATCCTAGGGAAAAAAATATCGCTCCCCAGATGTAGATCTGCATTTTGGTTCGTTTCGCTCGGAGATTTAACGGCGTAGACATACACGCAAAAGATGACGGTTCGTTTCGGCGTGGACATACACGCGGATAGCTCAAAATGCGTATAGATAACACGCCACTTGACTTGAAAGTGGCGTGTATGTTTACGCAAAGTCATGATGTCATGTTGAGAGCAGAAAGCTGAAGCTCTCCGTGTGTTTTTCCGTCGTCAATAGGCGCGTTCATATGTAAATTGCCTGAGCTTATTTTGTTCATCAAAAAAATCCATACATTTACCAGCCTATAAACCCTCTCCTCGAAGAAATCAGGACAGAAGTTGTTTAAAGTGGACAAAAGAGACGTATTAAAATGCCAGTGGTAAACGGGTATGTGTCTCCCTCGTCTACTTTTGATCTGATCGACCAAAACACATCTTAATAGCAGGTGTAAACAGGGCCTGAGATGTGTGCTGGAGTACAGTTTTGAGAACTGAGAGGACGTTCTGCGGGGTGTGCTGTACAGATCTCTCCCCTTTAACGTGGCCGCCACATCACACAGCACCTGTTCATCTGTGTTGAGAGAGCATGCAGATGGCTGAGTCGATTACAGCTGCAACAGCCAATGCAATGCCTCTCATCTGGACTGTTTCCCTCAGTCCACCATGCTCGTCCAAGCCTCCCTGGATGCATCAAACAGGTGTCAAATAGCTCAAATTACTCACATATTTATCCAAATAATGCCTCTTTGATAGCTCCTAGGTCTTTTGGTGGCCAGTGACTGGACTTTTTTTTTTTTTGACGAATGGTCGACTTTATGGGAGCTGCGATGACAGGTAGCCAGGGCGGTAAACTCGGCCCTCATCATCACCTGTCACCACAGCTAATAAGCTAATTCCCTTGCCTGTTAAATGGAGCTCTGTGGCCTGAGGAAGAGGATATTGAAAAGGGACTATGAGCTTTTTTCCCATCCGCTTCAAACATGGCGACTTCAAAGGGCCTCCCTCCTCCTCGTTTCTAATCTGATTTGTTCCCAACTTATGAGGGTAGGAAGGACACAGAGCTACAGTGAAGATTTAACTGTACAGCAGGTGTATGCCAATCACAATAGACTGATTGTTTACTTATATTATATCATATTTTCTGCACTTATTTAGGGGGAAATTGAGCTAACAGTTCTACGCTTTTAAAGGGATATTTTACTCAAAAATACAAATAAATCACTTAATCACCCTCAGGGTCATTCCAAACCTGACTGTGTATTTTGTGAAACACAGAAGAAGATGTTTTGAAAAATGTCTCAGTGTTTCAGCATTCCAACCCCCAAAATAAAATGTGGCCAAATCTGTTTTGGACTCATTTAGACAATTGTTTTTCTATTTTATTCTTAATCTGACGAAGTAAACTGACTGAACAATAATATATGGACTTTTGCTAATTTCTAGTGCTATCCAGTGCACACCCCACATTTTGAGCAGATGCCGAAACATGTCACAGTTGCACTTAATAAACCCTTTATACAGCCATAACTCAAAACTCTTTGTAATTAATTATCAATAGATGAAAGCATAATCAAATTAGCCAAAATATTTCAGAAATGAAAGCACAGGGGGCAGATGATGTACAACTTCCAGTTCTGTGGAGTCCTGTGAGCTCAAATTATGTGTGGCCCTGAGTAATCAGATATGGACCAGCGAAGGGACAGCTTGTAGAAAGGTTCATTCGCAATATTTAAAGATGGCATTGGGAATTATAAATCATGTAAACGAGATTTAGACTCTTATATGTTAATCAAATGCATGTGTTCGGCTGGTAGCCAGCTAGCTTGAATATGTTAGTCTCTCTGTATGTGGTATAATGGGACATTAAAAGCATTTTTGAGTCTCAGTTGACGGATGTGTGGAGCAGAGCGAAATATGGTATCAGGGAGGAATGAAGACAGCGTAATTGCTGTTGCCCTTCTGGAGCTCCTCAGCCACCCCCAGGACAGCTACAGCTGAGGAGTTGAATTCCTCAGCTGTAGCACATGAACAGTTATAACGCCAACATTTCCATAATGCGAGTGTTAGGCTTTAATCTAATGATAGATGAGGCGTGGAGACCGGCGCTGTGTGTGCCACATCTAGCCTCAAACTTTTGGCTGACACTCCGGAATGTGACGTAACAGGTCGCGACACTTCAAGGATTTTCAATAGTTTTCAGATACACAGAAAAACACAGGATATATCAACACATCTAGCAGGACGTCTTTGGATAAATACACAAAGCTTGTTTTGTGAGAGATCATATCAGCCAACAATATTAGTTCTCAGCTTTGTTTAAGGCTCATAACCACCAGTACAATAAATGAAAATATAGTGCTAACTTCAAGAAGAACACAAGCACCATGTATCTCCCTCAGGATTGAACAGTATCACCTGAGGTCACTGTATTGGGTTGTGATGGGCCGTAAATGAATCTTTAGAAAAAAACAAGTGAACCTGGAATAATCGTCTGACTCTAGAGGAATTATGCGTTCTGTAGTTTTACAACAGCTGTTTCCATCCACCTATTTTTATGCACATTTTGGGATATTGTATAGAATAAAACGATGAATGGGAACGCCAAGATGTGCATAAATTCTAAAAATGCACATAAAAAATGTACGCGCTCTATTGATTTTTATCCAATAAGAAAACATGCACATAAACTACGAAGGAAACACATTTACCGAATAAATCCCTCGATGCGCAACATAAAACTCATGTGACTTTGACTCAACAGAGGATGTGATTGGATAACTGGACTAACCAGCGGAAGCATCGCATCGCATTGAACCAAACGCATCGCACAGCATCTCAAATGTTGGTTTGATCATTCTGAAATGCCTGAGCCAAAGTCTGTCATCTGAACTATTCGGTTTAATTACCTCCATGATCACGTTCCCAAACACCAGCATCTGAACCCAAGATAAAATGACAGCGTTTATTGCGCTTTGTCTGCGCATTTATGATTTAGGATAAAAGAGCCAGTATTTCTTCCCCGATTGCAGCAACTTCCATTTTTGTTACAGATGTTTTGCGCCAATTTCCCAGGATGCGACAATTTTGTTCTCTCTAAATCTCATCTAATCAGCTTCTATATCTGTTGAACTCACCATTGTTTTCAATGTTCTTGGTTACCACCATAAAAATCCATATACCTTTTCCTATATCTCTGAATACACATCTGGTTCCACATTCCTCTCCAGTGGTGTCACATTTAGTATTGCTTTAAAACAGACCCAGTGAAATATTTCAAATAATAAAGGATTATTTTCTCAGACACGCCTGAATGGGTTTATAATATCTTCCCTCATATACAGAGCTTACGTAATTAGAAAAATATTGTTTTTGCAATCCAACCCAGAGGCATATGCGCAATTGTTTTTCCCAGTTTGTTTTGATCTTCAGTGTACTGTTTAAAAACCACATCCTCACAGCAGAAAGAGCTACACCATCAATAACCACAACGTCACGCTTAAGTGTTAACAGCTTTATAGAAAATCATCTCCATGTTTTTGTGTGTATAGGAAAACATTCCCCGCTTTGTTTCAGGGTCTGTGCAGAAATGCACGTGAGAAACGCAGATCCTTCACATTGAAAAGAGAAGCAGGGGGAGAAAGGGAGTGGTGCTTTCCCAAACATTTGTGTCTTCCCTTCTCCTGGGTCACTAGGGATCCTGGGCAAGGGGAAGCAGATAAGATCTGTCATGTTTCTGCAGTCATTAAGGCCTGGAACAATTACTTTCCTTTGGCTACCCCACATCAAACATCAGTGCTGGTTGCTGCTTTATGAGAGAGCACCTGGTTGTGAGCCACCTGTCTACAAATGTGTAGAGAAAGATTGTAGTTATTGTACATGATCTAAGCAAGTCCAAGCCTGAAAGAGCCTCAAATAGACACTTTAACAAGTTTTGTTGAGTATAAGTGGACATCAAATTAAATAAGAAATGTCTTATATGATCCATCTAAATCAAATATGGAAGTGTGATAGTGCAGTGTTACTAGAGAAGCATGAGAAAAGTTCATGTTCAAGGGAGCAGAAGCGTGACCTGCCGAGGATCTCACACTCTTTCTGAGGAAACGAGTGATGTCAGCTCCTTGTATTTCATATCTCCGCCATGTCCTCTATTGTTTAGCCCCTGTGTTTCCATTAATGCTGGGCTTTGGGACTGGATTGGACGCAAGTGGCACGGAAAAGCTTTCGGGGTGGAAAAGCCCGAGACCTGAACTCACATCCTGCTTTTGTTGGGACACTTTTTGGAATGTTGATCATTGTATAAATATTTGTTCAAAATTTCCTTTGAATTTTTTAGAAAAAGGTGAGCATCTGCAGCTACAACCAAAAATGGAAGGATGAGTCAACAAATAGGAACCGGATCTAACACGTTTCCTAATGATAAATCACACATTTAAACTAGTTACCTTCATTTTCAAAAGCAAAAGAAAATTCAAGCTTTCAGTTGTGTGGGGTCCCAAACAATTTTTTTCATAAAGCCATTTCATTATGTAACAGTATGTTTCCACCCAAAGTTGCGAATAATGTTTCCATCCACACATTGGAATATCGCATAAAACATTTGCGAATGAAGCACCGTTTCCATCCAGTGAGTCGAAGAGAAGAAAATCGTCACTTCCTGATAAACTGGTGCTAAACATAACTAAGAAAAGTAGGAGAAGCCACTGTATATAATCATTTTCATATATAATACATTTCTTGCATCTCAGAACGTGCAGATGAAACTCAATAAACGTGTTATCTTACTTTCGGAGGCAGATGCTGCTGTTTGGGAACCCAGTCTTGTAAGAGTTCTGGGAGGTAATTATACCGAACCACTTTGACGAAAGACTTTGCTCAGGCATTTCAGAACAACCAAAACAGTATTTCAGATGCGTCCCATCTCGCAAAATCACATGATTTTTTTTATGTGCATCGAGGAATTTATTTGGTAAATTAATTTCCATTATAGTTTATGCTCATGTTCCGACTCAAACGAGCACATGTGCTTTTTACGCACATTTTAGAATTCATGCATATCTTGGCGTTTCCATCCAGCAGTTTTTAAGCGATATCCAAAAATGCGCATAAAATAGGTGGATGGAAACATAGCTAGTGTCAGTATTGGTTAATGAATGATGTAGAGTTGTCTAATGATAGCTTGTCTCCAGGAATGTGTCAATTTGTTTAATGAAATGCAGTGGGCTAGTTGGGAAACTCTATTTAAGACCATCTTGTTCGTCTAAACGTGTTTCCAGAGCTATGATAAATCCTGTTAACGATTCCACTGAGATAGTAAAAATACTTTTAGTGTTAAATAATGGTTGGAGATCATGGTGCTTATGTCATCAGTTTAAGACCCTCTGGTTCACCTGAACACATGCAGTCGTGCTCCTGGAATGATCTTTATCAGTTACTGTGGGAACCTTTGCTTTGCTCTGCGCTCATTAGCCCATCAAATGAGCCATCGGCTTTCAAACAATAGGATACAGTTCACACTGTTCTTGTTGACTTATTTAACAAAAGTTGCTTAACCCCCTATAGTGTACATAAACATCTCGGGTAATCCCCTTATTTAGAGCCTACCTATTGTCCAGAGAGGGGTGGGGGGTCCTTACCTAAGGGAACAGTCCCAGCCAGCGTGAATAACCCCCATTTTTACATTGTTTTATGCAAATTGAAATAAAATTAGCAGTTAACCGTAATGATTTTTCTCTCTGTCTCTGTCTTGACAACCAGGTGAACCAGGCCAATCAGTCCAACCCACTGGGCTCTGGACTGGGGTACCTAGAGCACATCTGCCAACTTATAGAGAAGATCGGTCAGCTACAGGAACACAACCTCCGACTACAGAAACAGATCTGTGGCCTGCAGAAGGATGGCCGAGTAATCAAGACTAAAGAGGTATCAATCTGCCAGCATTCATCTTTATAAGCTTGGCCCAAAGAATAAAAAAGTGTAGATCAAGTTTTGAAAACACATCATACTTCTCAATTTGAAACTGGTTAAAGACATTGCTGTAGGTCTGGGTTTGAAAGATGACGTCTTGGAATTATAATTTGTTGTGGGTCAAACCCCCATATTGATGCCTGGGGCAAAGGATTATTGATTCATGCTGTGTCAATGTAAATCCAGCTGTTTGGAGTGGGGTTTAGGGGGTTTTCAGTCATGACGGATAAAAGTGTATTTAATAAACAGAGCTGCTGGGTTCAGCCCTTTTCGACCCGCACACAGATAGGGTATTCGTTTCAAAGGACCTGATGTCCCCTCACATGGATTTCATTTGTTTTTATGCGTCCCATGTTGACATTATTCAGGACGAAAGTCTTTTCCTGTGCCTTTGTTTAGTGGGTCATTGAGAGAAGCTCACTCAGTCATGAAATGCGTTTTGTTTGATGAAAGGCCTGATTGAAAAGCAGATGAGCATTGATATATACCTAACAAAAATAAATTTGCTAAACAAAATATGGTTAAAAAATGGTAAACAGAAAGGTTTATGTCAGGTCACACTTTAGATCAGGGTCCAATTCTCACTATTAACCAATTATTAACTATGACTTTTACCTCAATAAACTCCTTAGTACTGCTTATTAATAGTTAAGGTAGTTGTTAAGTTTAGGTATTGGGTATAGGATTATGGATGTAGAATATGGTCATGCAGAATAAGGCATTAATATGTGGTTTATAAGTACTAAACATCAACTATCGTAGTAATATGCATGCTAGTTAATAGTGAGAATTGGACCCGAAACTAAAGTGTTACCTTATGTCATTTAGCAGTTATTTACTGCAAAATACCAACATGTGAATGCATTCTGGTAAATCATAAAGCTGTTCAGATTCAATTAAGTTAACAATGTGGAACCCATAAAAATCTGAACTCAGCAAACGTGCTTGAACAAGAACAAGAGTGCATCTGGCTTGAATGTTATCAGCCAAAAGCCACAGGAAAAACATAACACTTTTACAACGTTTTGTATAAAGTTATGGATGTTTTTCTAACATGTTGGCCTTTGTTTTTCCCTTTGGATTTGTACCTCTCCTGAATTAGTAACACAACTCCAAAATATTGAGACCAGGAAGGGAGCTTGTCTTTGTTGAATGCGGATGCAAGTTAGAAAGCTGGACGCAACCCCCAGAAATGGGATAAAGCCTATATTAACTCTTTCCCCACCAGCATTTTTTAAAAACTTTTACGAGACCCCCAGAATATTTTGTTTAATGAAAATCTGAACATTCTATAAATCAAAAGAAAGAAAAGAGCCTTTGCTTTAAAATATTCTAACTTAATGCATTCTTTTTCATAAAATAAGTTTCATACAAAAAGCAACATTTTGACAACAAAAAGCTGTCCGTATCGGATTCAGAATGATGATCAAACATAGATGGAGTAGATAGCTTCCATCAACACACCCAAAGCTTACACATACCCCTTCATGGGTCAACATTTAATTCGGTAACGTTAGGCAGTTTTGATTTATATGTGGTTTAATGTTTGATGATCGAGTTAGTTAGTTCAAATTTATTTTATTTTTTTATAATAATTTAATAATTTAATTTAATAACTTTTTAATTCTTTTAATAAAAGTGACATTGACAAAATCTAGGAAATCCTTGTGGGCCCTAATGCTCAAAAGAATTAATTGGTTTGAATAAGGTAAACCTAAATTAAACCTATTTTCCAGCATGCTTTGCCATGACACTCGTAGTCGTAAGGGAGAGTAAATGCTCAAATTAAGTGTTATATGTTTTTTTTGTGCAAGATTAATTTTAAGTGGGTGATTAAGTAGTGTTTCATATTTTGCTGTAATTTAGACGTTTCTGTTTTGTTCTATATGGTTTTTATTTCAAGTTAAGAGCCATTAAAATGTATAAGTACAAAATAAAAATCAGCCAGTTCTACTTACCTAAACTATGTTACCTAAACTCAGTTACATCAAACTTTTTGAGTTTTGCCAACTTATTCGGGTTGACAGAGGGGGCATTAGCCCAAGCAAGCCCAGGCTTAGTACCACCACAGATAAGCAATGCTTTACCATATAACAGTACAAATATGGATTGCCGGGAAATTCCGCATATGGCAGGGAAAGAGTTCAAAGGAAAAGAATTGAAAATGTCCCAAATGTATTAATGACATTCATTTATTTAGCTAATTATGTATTTTTAAATATTTTTAAAATAAAATCAGTAAATCACGGTATATCAAATCCTGTACAATACACAAATTTGTGTTTGCTTATTGCAGCAGCCATTGAAACTGCTATAGGTTGAGAGAATACTTTCATTGTTGTGGCAGGTTTCAATATCACTCGGTGTTCTTGCTTTTTTCAAATACTGTACGTGATGGAGGATAAAACCCATTTTTATAATTCCTGAAATTTGCTAACGTATTTAATATACCTTCCCCTTTGCCAGTCCTTCACCCCAGTCTCTTCTCTCTAGTCCTTTGCTTACCGACTAAAAGGCTGTGACAGTATATTGTGTAGACGTCTTCCTGACCTCTGGATGCTGTGCTGTTGGATGAGAACAGTTTTGTTCATGGTTTTTCAGAGAGTCAACTCTAAACTGGCTCTGTCAGGTCGGGCCCTGGGGCCAGAAAAGACTTTACATGGTCACAGTGAGTGAGCTCAGTGGGGGCCTGCTCTTTCAAAGAAAGCACGAGAGAATGAGGGGCAAAAGAAAGGAGGACATTTTAAAAATGTTCTTTTTTACAGAAACCATGCATGCGTGCTTACATGAAATATTTTTGCCTTATTTTAGGTTTGGGAATCACGTTTTCTTAGAACTGGTTCCATTTATTTAACTGGTCGAAAGACTAAAAGATCCAACACGACTATTTTGATTTGTTGCAACTTCGTATGAATCCATAAAAAACGCATGCACGTTTTTGTACGATATGCTCTCATCCCACTGAGGGGTATAGGTTCAGGGATGGAGCTTCATAATTTTTTCATACAAATTATACATTTTCACACAAATCCAATCCATTTTTCCCAGTGAGATCGGGGGAAGATTTGAGTGTTTGTACGCTAAAATCCACGTCAACGTTCATATTTATAAAAATGATGGGTCTTTGATGTGGAAAAGTGCTTAGTGCCACGTCAGGGTCTAAGCAGACGTACACACTGTTCCTTGTGGCAGAGAGTACTGCAGGTATTTGGAAATCTAGGAAATCTAAGCAAATAAATGTCCAAATCTAAGCAATTCTTGCTGCTCACCATTCTCAAATAAAGGATTTGGACGTTGACTAGTGCTCTTTTATACGTTAATAACATTAATTAGGGGGCGTTTACAAGACAGAGATCTGAACCATTCAGCTGTGCACATTTGCGATTTATAAATTTCACTTCTAGAGACACATGCAGGTTTTTTCCTCTGAATCACACATAAGCACATTTGATAAATGATCGTAAGATCAAATGTAGGATGTTTGTTTTTGCTCATTTTATAAATTGTTTTTTATAAATCGCAAATGATAGGGCCATTTTATAAAGGCCCCAGGTTGATACAATTTAAACTTATGAATTATCTCTTTGAATCAGTCAAACAACTTGTTCAGTAGTAATAGCAGTGGAATCGTCAAGGAATCAAAAATGTTCAGTTGAATGTCAATTGTCAAATTCTTTATTCCTTAAAATTCCAAGGAGAAAAAGTGTGGCACATGAATAGTTTATGGACCACACGGCGTGGTGGTCTCCCTGGGTCTTCGATTCCCTGGGCTGTGTCTTTGGAGAACAAGCAACAGGCAGCAACATGCTGTTTCACACATCAAAAGGGAGGGAAACTCCTGAAACGTGCCTCAGTCTCCACTATAATGGACCAAGCTGTCTCGCCAGTCTCCTCTCTGGCTGTTTTACCCACCTACCCCTAAACCCACACAGGATGCTTTCATCTGTACTCATAAAAAGCATTCAGGACTCAAACAATATGCAGTTACCACCATTGTAGTGTCCTCTTACTCTCTTGTTAGTCCTACATGTTGATCTCTTCAGTTATCAGCCGTGACCAATCCGATCAAAAGATATGTTGAAGGATCTGGTGTTTTGGTTTATGGGACATTTAAGGTGAATTCTTTCATCTTCAGTCCATGTTCAATGCTCATGCTTCTTTCTTCTCAAATACATCAAAAGATCTTTATGATGCATTGATACTTACAGAGGAAGAAGTGTTCAGTGTTTAGCATGTCTTTGCTCTCTGTGCCAACAACAAAATCCTTAGCAAACGGATCCACCATAGCACCCTCACCTCATCAATCAGAAAGCGTTTACCATGCAAATACAGATATAATGGAAACAATAGGATAATCTTGGGTAAACAGATTTTGGGAAACATCTTATCACTTACACAGAACACTGTCATGTGAATTATTTAGAGGCTAAAAACTCAAACTCTTTTTTTCTAAAAAGCGAAGGTTCTTATATTTCGAATATTGTGTATTCATTTGCATAAGTCATATCTACTTCACTGCACATCTGGTTTGGAAAAGAATGTGTAATTTTAAGAAAAATTGGTGGAAATGACACCAGCAGATTTCAGCTGTTGAGGTGGTCCAAATGATGATGTGGGATACATGAGGAAAATGCTTAAAATAGTGATAAAGACATATACCAAAGGAAAAGCAAAATCAGGGTCATTTTGATTTTGTCTCATGATTTAACTGTTGAGAGTGAATTTGAACTGTAGAGCAAATGGAGACTTTTTCTTCTCAATATGAACTTTAAACTTTCTCATCAAATTCTTTCAAGACCTAATTACCCGAGCTCTTATCTTCATTCATTTTATAGCTCTGTACACAGAATGTGTAATAGAAAAAAAGAGACACAAGTGAAGATGACTTTCTCATAAGATATTTTAGAAGTAAACCTTGATATTTACAATATGAAATATTTTAAATATCAAGATATGAAAAAAGAGTACCGGTAACCTTTAAGAAGTACAGTTTTACTCTTGTCTATCACAGTTGTCATGTAAGATAAAGATAACATCAGATAACGTAGGATTAAAAAATTAACCATATTTTTAATGTAACATTTATGTAGCAGCAAGAAAACCCAAAATATATTGAAATAAAAATCTATTCACATAGATTTTGTCAGTGAATGGACGTGTTTGAGGGCTTCAGTACTTTTACACTTGTATAAATCTGAACCAGATGTCTAATCTACGGGCCAAGTATGTGCTGTCATCCTTAACCCAGGGGTGTGAACATCAACAAATTGAATTTAGATTTCATAAAGTGAACTATTTTGAGCGCTCTTCTATCCCAAATGACCACATTTTAATTTTGTTTTGGAGCATTTTATCTACACAAAACAAAAGCTTTACAAATCTGGGCATTTACAATGTATGCATATGCATTCATAAATAGATGACTAACAAAATGATTAAATAAAATGGCCTCAATATTATATGTATGAGACAAATTCTCGATTCAAACTCTTTTTCAGGACTTTTTCATACATCACTGCAGCTGTGGAGCAGCCAGCTTGGCCTTCCAAGAGCTCAAGAGACACTTTCACAGTGATCACTACAGCCTAACAGCATCAAGCAGCACGCTGTCTGACCTGACCACAATCCCTGAGGTCACGCGCATCCCCCTCAGGACAGCAGCGAGAGGTCAGTGTGTAAACACACCTGGAGTCCTACATACAGGGATACGATTAATCTGTGTTTACATTGACAAATGCTGATGGTTGGTTTGAAAAAGCCATGGCTGAAAGTTCAAAAATGTTTTGAAGATTGAATATTATAGAAGATTACGTAGATCTTCTATCAAGACAACCCCCTCTAAGTGTCCCGCATATAAACCCTTGCTGTCCACGTAGCACTAAAGTCATGTTTTTCCTGGTTGCTTTCCTTCCATCTCATGTTCCATCAGGTGGGTGGGCGACCAAACATTAGTCTCTGGAGAAATGGGAAATGAACACTTTAGTGATATGTGGAATTTCTGGAATTCCATATAGAGGGAAGAAGCATATCTCAGGGATTCTGGGACTTTTTGTGGGCGGGAAAACAGAGCTAATGTATGTTTCAGTATCACACCCTTCAGAGGACATAGAGTTAAGTCATAGATCACGAATTCATAAGTCATTTCCTCTCATAGAGAGAACTATATACAAGCATGTTTTCTTCTGTACAGATGGTGAGATGGGCTGTCAACCTGCTCTTCCCGTTTGGAAAAGGGGTCTGAATCGAAGAAGCTACACAGAGGGAGAAGCCAAGTACCTGAGTGACAGCGCTGAGGTCCTCTCTGCTCCTCACAGACGGGTGAGGCAGTTGAATTTCAACACACTGACTCACTTTGACAAACACACATCTATCAACACTCAGGGGAAGTGGATTATAGTGAATGTTTGGTCAAGCCTCTTTGTCTCATGCATTGGTTTACTCATTGAATTACAGATTGTGGTAGTTTAGTCAACAGAAAATGAAAATGAATTGCTCAGGAATGGAAGTAGAGCCAGTTGAAACTGTTAGTCACATTAGTGACAATTATTTAGATGACAAAGCATTCCACTTCAGGGATGTGGAAATTATGACATAAGAGGAATAGTTAAAAACAATTGTATATTTCATTAACTGATAAATAATGTTAATATTCCAAAGTACTAAAATCTGTTTTGTAACTTTAAAGAACTTAAAAAAAGCTGGTAAAGAGAAATCCACGATGAATCAAAGTTAATCACAAGTAGCTTTTTCACAAGCTGAAGTAAATACTAATTATATAAAAGGTGCATGGTGTCATATACAAAACACCATCATGGTAACACACAACTCTAAAAGGCTATAATGCAGTAATAATTTAACAACACAAGATGTAACAAAACCTTCATGTATGTAACTGATAACAAAAAAAAAACTAAGAAGAAACATCAAATGTAAAGTGTCACACAGGTAATTCTGGGAATGTCAATTAATGGTTTTCACTGTAAATTACATGACGACTTGTTCTTTTATCACTTCTAAACTGTACATATAACTGTGTAAAATTACATCAAATGTCCCATTTTTCGCCATATATAAAGGAACTCAAAGGTTTTAACCATATAGAATTTTTACTGTTTAAAATAATGTTGTACCTTTGTGTTTCTAGTTGAGTGAGAACTATACTTGGGGAAGAGTGAAGGAACTGGTGAAGAAGACTAAACTGAGGAACCAGAGCAGGCTGGGACTGTCTTCAGGCTCCTTGAAGAGATCATGTCCACAGCTTTACCGGTACTCCATCCCTGTTTTCATAAGAGTTTCGGATCATTAGCACTCAAAACAATAGTCAGATTTGATCTCCCTCTGAAGGCTCATTGAATGTTATTTTATAAATAAATAGAATATATATTATTTCTAAAAGCCTGATCAACATTATTTCACAGACAATTAGTTTTGATATTAAAAATGAATCAGAATGGAAATTAATTCAAGCTTTGCACACTGCCCTATTGTGTTGTTCCCATTTGGACTACAGTAACTTCTAGGAAACTGCATCACAAACACAAGTAGTACTAATGGCTCTGCTCTTTTGATGTTATGACTCACTATGTGTGCAAGATAAGACTCTCATCACAACCAAACGCTGGTAAACTGGGCGTCCTAATCTCGCCTGAATGCTGCCTCCTCTTAAATACCTCAGCACTGGGCTCATGTGGTAGTCGGTGACTAGCACCACGCTGTATGAATGAGCAGAGAGCAGAACACTGATTAGGTATTGGATCTCATTCAGTCCAGTATTATTTGAGTGTTTTTTTAATACTTTTCTAGTATTTTGAATTCTTTTATTTTCATTTAAAGAGAAGTTTAAGTTTGAATGATTTTGTAATGTGCTTTTGTCATTTTTATTAGTTTTGGTAACACTATAAAGCAATATAAACAGCAATATAATGCTTCATGGAAAAAAAAGCGAAGATGACAACAAGGAAGAACAAAAAATAAACATACAGTAAATACAAGTAAGAGTTGGTAGTTAGTCGCCAGCAGCACAGCAGCTCCAGACAAACAATGACCCTCAAACTGTCCTGTTACTACAGCTAACATTACAACAACAGCATATCTTGGTCCTGTGAAACACCAAAACCAATGTTACTCAGTTATGGAGCAAAAACAACAACCTTGGCGTCCGTTTTCAGGTCTTCCCGCTTGGGTCTCTCCAGCGCTGGAAAGCCTTTCTAATATTAACACGGGTCCTAAAGCTCTTGCCTGATCAGAACCCTTCTTTTTCCAGTGATATTCCTCTGACCTTTTCTCTTTTGTAATGTCTCTCAGCCATCTCTCTTTCTACAGTCTTTCTTCAAATCTCCCTCTTGCTCTCTCTCTCTCTTTCAACAGCGTTTCTTATAAATCACTTACTGCACCTTTAATTCATGCTTAACTAATGTACACACGACCCGTCATTCATTAATGGCTGATTAATTGATTAAGTCTTATATTAATTGCTAATAATTAAATGTGCCATCAAAGATTAATTCTCTTCAAACATTTAGTATTAACTAATAGTGAAAATTTGTGTAATTCACAATGGGTCGAAGCCATGTATTTCAACTTTCAGCTGTCTGCAACGGGATACCATGAAGTTCTTCATGAGTCATACATGAACTCAAGATTATCTGTGCATTAGTTAAGCATGAATTAATACATATTAGTGCACCCATATTGTTACCGTTTTACATTTTTCTAATAGGCCTAATCTATTTTTATTTCAGTTTTAGTCGTTTTAATAGGCTACTTAAACTTGAACTTATTTCAATCAGTTGCCAAAGCAAGATTTCTAATTTTCATTTAAGTTTAACTTAATTTCAGCTTTATGTCAACTATGATTTTTCAGTTTGTTAAAAATAACAACCCTGATTCAGTCACTTTCTGTTAGTACATCTATAACTGCATTTTTCACAATATTAATAAATCAGTTTATACTGCGACACTGATTGGTTAACCAAGGTGTTTATTCGTTATCTGCAAGGCTAGAAGCTAGATCCAAGTTTGCTGACCAAATTGCAGCTCTATATCACTTTCTGAACTAATAACAGACACTTCTGTGACGTAAGGAAGAGCGTTTTAGAGACAAATACCTTAAAAATGTCTTTTTCCTCTACAAAAGACATCTTGAATCTCAACTTATTCCAAGTTAGCAGTGATCCAACACACAGGTTGGCACAGACTCAGATGAATAGTTCTAGGGCTGCAGTGTCAGGTTGGAGGTATGCTGGTGGGAGTAGGAGAATTCCCCATGTTGTTCACTCATTAGATGAGATATGGGAGCTATGCTAAACGCACTCTCCTCCCGAGAGTAGATATTTTCTGAGGATCCATATGGACCGGTGATTCATACAATACGCTTACTGTATTTTGACAGTATTTGTTTTTCTCATTTCGTAATATTCAGTGAAAAATTAGGTCCGACTGACTTCCATTAGTTCAGACCAACTTAATGAGGCATTAACATTCTCGCGCTATTTAGAAAAGTTTATTCAAAACATATTTAAAATATTTTAAGTAGTGTCCCAATATTTGCCATGACAAGGAAAGCATGCTTGAAATTCAATCAAATGACTGCAAATTTGATACGATTAAGATTGCTAAAATGGTTTCAATCTTCCTCACAGCCCAGATGTGATGTCAGCAGAGCGCCCCAGGACAAACAGAAACTCCATGATCGCTTTGGGCCATCAGAAACTGGACTATCTGTGGCCACAGTAGTATTGATCAGGTAGGCCAAAAACACATCATTTGCCAATTCCTAGTGCAATAACTATGAACATGAAGATCAAAAACTGACAATTTAATAATAACACTTTTGATTAGTAAATAGACAAAATTTACCTTGAAGGCACCGCAAGTCAATTTGGATAAAAGTGTCTGCGAAATTCATACATGTAAATGTAAAATATAGCTGCCAGCAGCAAAATTGTGGCCAAGCACATTAATGGCACTGAGTACATTGCATTCTTCGGAAAAAATGTACGATTTTAATGCCAATTATTGCAAATGTTATCATTTTACCTTAAATAGTTGAGCAAAACATTTAAATAGACATCATTTATGACATTCCAAACCCAAAATACTACCATCTTCTGAACACAAATGAAGATATTTTCTATATTTTGTAGTATAAGTGGTTGAATCCAAGTCTTCTTAAAAACATTTATATGATGCTTTAATTTTACAGATTTAATTTAGGCTTTTATTCACATATAAACACCGATCAGCACACGTACATAGAGCACATCAAATATGATAAATGGCATTTGAACAAATCTCACTGGTTTAATGGATGAACTATCCCTTTAAATTAGTCATTAGAGGCAGTTTTCTATCAAGCGTTGCAGAGATATTGCACTGTTGATTTCATTCCACTCTTACTTTTTTCAGCTTGGTGAGAGTTCAAATGACTGGGTCACAAAATTTGAGTAGTTGTAAAAAACTAAACAAAAAAGTTAACAAAAGGAACCTAAAGGTCCGAATTGGTCCCAAGTTGCTCATACTATTCACCTTAATTAGTGAACCAAATTTCACAACTTTTCATCATACAGTTGTATATGGTCTGTCATGGACTCCCATAGCAGAGGAAGAAGAAATAGAGGTCAGAACAGAAACAATATAAAACAGAAACAACAAAGTGTTGGTCCCCAGTGATGTCCAGTGTGCAGAGGAGGGTTTGTGTTCCAGGTCAGTTGTTGTTTTAGCACTGTTTGGACAGTAAGGCTCTATCTCTCGGCAGTGTTGTTTCAGTACAACTGATATCACGCACACAGTGAATGAGCAGCATGTTAACTCTCAGCTTTTGTTTTCTCATCAGACATTGAGCAGATGGCCGGCGATGGGGCAGCTTTTCCAAAAAGCAAAAGGACAAAGTGATGTTTTTTTGCAGTTTGCAGATGGTTATTCCAGACTGAGGAACAAAATGGGAGAGAATGCACAAGAAAAAGACGAACAGGATTTGAATAATGAGAGAAAAATACTGGTATTGTGTGTACTGTTTATATGTTAATGCAAGTGTTAAGTTGTTGATGGAACCTGTTGATGGAGCTTGTTTGAGTGACGTGACATTTCTATAAAGCACTCATTAGATTTGTCAGCTAATGAGGTACTATTAAAGACTATATAAACGTGGAAAGATGCTTTACAGAAAGCGATTTTCCAAAAAATGGAATTACAGTAAATTCTTAAATATAGTCTAATGTAAATTTCTGTCTGGGACAATTTACCAGACACTGTCCTAATTGTAAAATACTTGAAATACACCCAAAGTATAACAAATGTTGAACACGCATGCTATAAATTTATATACATTCTTTTGTACCACAATTATAAGAATTGCCATGTGTAAGTGTGTATATACAGACATAACAAATATGCATGTATGTATCCATGATGCATGGATCATACAGTATGTGTGGATGAGAGTGGAAGAGGGGCGCTCCCACATGTGAATTCCTCCATCTACAGACATATATCAATGTGATGACGGGGCTTATGATAACATGTAAATGACTTATGGCAGTTCTGTACGCTGCTCGCCTGTCTGATGTTATATAATGTGTGCGGCCTTTCGCCTCCCTAAAAACGAAGCAATGCCCAGAGTATGAACCTGAAATTTCATCCTAAACTATGAATTAACAAGTGCTTCCTATGTGCCAACCAAATTTCAGTCCAAAGACATAAATGGTTAATTAAACCGAATAAAATGTAATATACAGTGAACTAACCAAACCGAGCTGGATTAAAGCAGTATTCCATACTGTAAATCATACTGTCACATCAGAAACCCAAAACGTTATGCCCAGTCATAGTGAGTTAATGTAAGTTAGATAAGTGCTGCTAATCATAAACGCCAGAAGAACTAATGACAGTAAAAATGTAAAAAAGTTTGAAAATGGCTAAAATAAATAGATAAAATACAATAAAAAAAAGTTGGAAAACTTTACTAAAGTTATTAGTGGACCTCAGGGACAATAATGAAATAAAAAAGTTATGAAGAGTGCAACAGTGCCCACCGTCTTTTTTAGCTGCGCTGGTTCTGGAAGATTTTTTTGTCCCCACTCATTTTTCCCATAGGGATTTTGTCTTTGTTAAAGAGTTATATGCCAGGAACCAAGACAATCAGCTACGAGCTGAATCACAACACTACAAACTTTGATTTTAAGCATTTACATTTATTCATTTTGCTGACGCTTTTATCCAAAGCGACTTACAATTGCTATATATGTCAGAGGTCGCACGCCTCTGGAGCAACTAGGGGTTAAGTGTCTTGCTCAGGGACACATTGGTGTCACACAGTGGATTCGAACCCGGGTCTCTCACACCAAAGGCATGTGTCTTATCCACTGCGCCATAACCACCCCCAAAAAAACGTTTTTGAAAATCGGACAAAAAGACAAAGGTACAAGACTGTGTACTTAAAGGAGTAGTTCACTTTTAAAAAAAACTTTTGCTGATAATTTACTCACCCCCATGTCATCCAAGTTGTCCATGTCTTTCTTTCTTCAGTTGAAAAGAAATTAAGGTTTTTGATGAAAACATTCCAGGATTTTTCTCCATATAATGCACTTTACTGGGCACCAAACGGTCCAAGGTCCAAAAGACAGTTTCAGTGCAACCTGCAAACTGTTCAAAGGGCTTTAAATGACACCAGACGATGAATAAGGGTCTTATCAAGCGAAACGATCGCTCATTTAAAAAATAAATAACAAAGTTTAAGTTTTATAAGCTCACATGCCCGCCTTGCTCTGTTCTGTGTAACTCTCCTGTTCGAACTCGTTCATCAAAATGAACAAATCTTTTTTCGAGTCATTTGATTCATTTAACGACCGAAAAAGATTTGTTCATTTTGATGAACGAGTTCGAACAGGAGAGTTACACAGAACAGAGAAAGGCGAGCATGTGAGCTTATAAAACTTAAACGTTTTTTTTTTTTTTTTAAATGAGCGATCGTTTCGCTTGATAAGACCCTTATTCATCGTCTGGTGTCATTTAAAACCATTTGAACAGTTTGCACGTTGCACTGAAACTGTCTTTTGGACCTTGAACCGTTTGGCTACCATTGAAGTCCATTGTATGGAGAAAAATCCTGCAATGTTTTCATCAAAAACCTTAATTTATTTTCGACTGAAGAAAGAAAGACATGGACATCTTGGATGACATGGGGGTGAGTAAATTATCAGCAAAAGTTTTTTTAAAAGTGAACTAATCCTTTAACAGCTTTAGTGAGAGAAAGAACTACAATCCCATAAAGCATTGCGAACAGCATAATCAAATAAAAAATGATGGAGAAATATAAAACTACTCATTTACTAATGTTTATTTTATATATAAAAGCAATGTATTTGTAGTTAATTGCAGCAAAAAATTATATACACACACACACACATTTAAGTATTTTGAGAGTGTAGAGTGATTTGCTGTGTCCGAAATCGAATACTTCACTACTATATAGTATGCGAAAAACATTACGACAAAAGAGTAGTATGTCCGAAACATAGTATTCGAAAAGCAGTAGGCGAAATGTCCACGGATGACCTATTACTTCCGCTGACATTCTGAAGTGCACTTTACCAGTAACAACATGGCGGATGTAGTACATCTGAATTGACTCGATTTTGCCATTCGCAGGGCTTCACGAGAGTGGGTGGAGTTAAAGAGCTATTTTGGCGAGGATTGCTTTTTTTTTACTCTCTGACTGGTGTAATATTCCGTATAGCAACAATGGTTAATAATGTAGTTTTTCACCAGGAATTCTGAAGCAAATACCAGGGATTAACAAACTCATAGCTGAGACTAGGTCTGTCTTAAAGGGTTTATAACTTATCATTCAAAATCAATTTCCCAAGGTTGAAAATGAATGGAGTACTTCCAGAACCCAACTGTTGCACTCTAAAGTTAATCCACAGTGAAAACAGTCAGGTATACTGGACAACATTAAGTTAAGCTCCGAAGTGAGCATTAAGTGTTTAACTGTCTTTGTTGACAGCTGGGTGAGTGAGGTACTAAAATACTGATGTCTAGATAAGGTCTAGCTGTTTTGGAGACCACGTGCAGCCTTCCGTGTGAAAGATGAAACATTTTCTAATCAAACTTTTGTAACATGATATTGTTCCGGCCAGGAAGGTGTATTAAAGCATGTAGTACTGTCTTTTGATGTACGCTTGACCTATCGTTTCAGTCACTGTTCTGAGTAATGCTGTTGATCTGTGTGTAAAAATTAATGACAGCTGATGTATGGCAGAATTCTTTGTCTGTTAGGGACAAATGATATGATGACGAGCGATTTGTACTTATCTTGTGTATTGTAGTGTACCAAATGGACGGAATAATTCATTATGCATATTGCATTGTTATTCAAATGTATTTTTTAATAAATAAGACATTTCTAAATAACATAATTTGGTTTAAATTTCTTTCATCATACTGCACTTAAAAAATAGACCTTATAGTCATATACTGTACATACTCTGATTCTTACAAAGCCCCAAAAGGGAAATTCATTTGTGAAGCAAAAGATTTGTGAGTGAACCGAAACACATTGAAATATGATTTTTCCACCCCGTATTCCTCTCCCATCACCATGCCCCTTTGGAGATTCAGAACTAAAATTTTAATATTTTGTCATAGTTCAAAATAAAATGAACAAAAGATAAAAATGATATTTGATTATGACTTAGATCAAAATGTTGGGAGGTACACCTTTCAATGTTAATATTTAGACTATATGCAGTGACTAAAGGATCAGGCGAGAAAACATCAGAATCCAGGTCATGAGGTCATTGGCAGAATGACAGCAAATATAAGCATTACTCTCAGTATGAAGAATCTCAGATTTCTCTCACTCAATACAGAGGATGGCAGAGTTCAAGCGGTTGCTGCACAAACAGAACAGCTTTAAATAAACGGTCTAATGTGATTCCCCCCACCACAGTAAACAATAAATGTAAAATCATAGCATATGTGGGACTTATGAAGTCATAGACTCTATAAGTGTGCACCACACTCGTAAAAATGTATAATAAAATCTCAACACTTGAGTCAAGCTGTTTATCAGCATGGCAGAGTTGAGCACACTTGATATTAGCGCCTCCGTCTGGTAGATAGCGGTAATGCATGAGTCAAAGTCAGTCAACTTTAGTTATTGTGTGGCAATGGTTAAAAGCAGCAGAGGGACATGAATGAATTGTAGCATTGAAGTAAATACTAAATATATATTAGTAGTAATAATAGTAACAGTCTCTAGAACATTTTATGAGCTAGGCCATATTACTAACGCCACATTATCTAACCTTTCTTAATTCCCAACCAGGAATTGAACAAATTGCGGTAACAAAAGCATGATACAGCACATTTTAATTGAATTCTCTACAGAAATACAACAAAATTGTTGTCAATTGATGTATTTGGGGCAGTCTATAGAACATTTTATAAAAGCTGAGAGACATAAGAGCCCAATTTTTGTACACTCAGAGGTTCAGGAGGGCCGGTGTAGCTGCACACATTCCAGCAACTCCAACACAATGGAGTCATAAAATATGTCATACCCACCCTCTGCATACAGATACCACAGAAACAGACGAATGACTCGGGGAAATATAAAGTGGATGTGTGCCAGTGACTGATGATTTACAGAAACACATACTTGTGCTCCAGTGGGGCAACATTATTATTATGTTTTGTCTTTTTGTGTAGTTTAATACAGAGAACATGCAAAAGTAGGTCAGTGCAGGTGAAAAAAAAATCTGACAGGAAAAGGACTGATCTGTGTTTGAAAAGGAGTCCATAACAAAACTGCGATAAATGTAAAAGTCTTGCAGTATAACACAACATTACGCATATGTATTATGCATAGTTTTATCTGTAACTATTTGCATTGCGAAACGCACTATGCAGTTATCATAGTGATGTGTGATGCCTTACTAAATGCCTAAAATTAATAATTATAATCACACTGTTGTGTATGTTGTGTGTCATAATTACCATAACTAAAATAGA